TTGACTCGGATTGGGCAAATCAGGTTACAATAATTGTGACATGTATGAATGGATTTAAAATTGTGCATCAGGCTGTGCTAAATCATGTGAAAAGTGTTTGAATGAAAACATTAATTACATCTCATAGGTAAACATCAAAGCGACTAGACAAGTCATGCTTTTTTGCTTAATACTAGAGATACCAGAGAGCTACTTGACTACAAATTCTCTAAGGCCCCTTCGTTTTGCGTTATTTCATCTGTTATACAACTTTATGAACGTTTAGGTTGTTGCTCTCTGGTTTACGAATAATGATAATGTCAACATGGCTTTTGCCCAAGTTCTTCCTAAAATTTTAAAATGGGAAGTGAGGGGCCCACTGGAAGGAAAGGTCAACATTCTGATTTATTAAGGGTCCTTGAGCAGAAGGAATTCGAAGATCACTGTACATCACAAATTTTTTGACAGCAGCCTTAGTGAGGAAAATTTCATGTAACAAGTGAGAGGTAAGCAAAGGAATAAAAATGTGGTGCATATGTTCAGGAAACAGGGAGAAGCCCCAGTGTCCTAGAATGAAAGGACTATTTGGAGGGCAACAAGGATAAAAATACATACAGATACACCCCTACACACATATAACCCAAGCATCCATATCGCCATTTAAAGAGGAATTTACATGTTAATATGTAACAAAGTGGATGCTACCATAGGTCCCTGAGCAAACAAAATGACAGATTATTATCTGCATGATGTCTAATCTGGTACAAAAATGAATGGTGGTGGGAAGAGGGGTAGGTAGGAGACTATGGCAATTGTATAAGAATGTGGGTGTATGACTAAGAGATGAGTGAAGTTACTATTTTGAACTTAAAAATAGCAATTATGTAAAACTAACAATTACATGTTTAAAGCCAAGATTGTGGATTCTGACTTAAAATATATTTTTAGAATGAAAAGTATCTAATAAGATTCTATAACCAATTTTTTTAATATTTTGAGTACAATAAATTGATTTTACTATTTCAGCTGTCACTAAATTACATTTTACTGTATATTTCTTTTTATCCTTCATATATTAAGTGTGAAAGTATTTTGTTAACTTAACCCAGGCCACAAGCCATCAGAGAAAGGTTTGGTAACCTTCTCAATGTTTCTAATTATTCAGTCAGGTTCCCTTCTCCCCCGATGTTTCAGACACATCAATAGTAGGGACATCATTAAAATAAAGTTTCTCTGTGTGGTACTTAAATGCTTCAACTAAAATCAATTGAGGCAAAATCTTTAATGTGATGATCATACCTGGTTTATCCTCTTGACACTTGTTAAAGTTATCTCGACCCCAAATTTAACAGCTTAAAATGATAACAATGTATTATTTAACACAATTCTTTGGGTTGACCAGTCAGTTCTATTGCTTTACTCCTTCATTTCTGCTGGCATGATTGGGAGATATGAAATGTCCTCACTCTCAGGGCTGATAGTTGATTCCGATTATTGGCCGAAAGCTCAGTTGATGTGGACAGCAAAAGGGCTTCAGTTCTCCTTGGTTTGTGTGCTCCTGCGGAGCAGCTTGGGCTTCCTCACAATCTGGTGGTCTCAGGGTAATTGAACTTCTTACGGTAGCTGACTTTCAAACCCTTAAAATCAGAAATGGCTACACTTTCTCAACTATTTGGCCTTGAACTGGAAGACTGCCAGTGGTGCTGTATTCTCTTGGTAACATCATATCGTAGGAACAGCTCACGGTCAAGGAGAAGGGTCTACACAGTGTGTGAGTAACAGAATATGACTGAGGGGTGGCAACAAAAGATGCAGTCTAATACAATAATGTTCTATCAAAAATAGCTCATCTGCTTCTTTTGATTAGTTTTCTGACTTTATTTTACATCCTGAAAGATTATACTTGTTTTGCCACTAATACCAATATTATAAATTGGCTAAGCTTAATAATATTCTAGAAATATCTAAGCTGCAAAGCTTTATCTAGAAATTTCCTTTTTCTAGAACAACATGAGTATAACAGATTCTGAATAATAAAGAAATTAACATTCTTTACATGGCTCGTGTACAATTTTTTAAAAAATATATCGATGACACTTTCCATTAAATATTGCATTTTCATAATTTTCTTAAAAACAGCTAAGTCATATGCTAGGGTACCTTTTACTGTAGAGTGGAAATAATTCATAGCATCATGATATGTGTGTATTTGTATCTATATATGTGTGTGTATATATATAAATATATAATTATGATGTAACTGAATTATACAAATAAATGTGAAAATCTAATTAACATTGTTTAAAATAAACATTCTCAATTTCCTTCAGTTCATGGAAAGGATGTTATAAGAAATTCCTTAAAAAAGAGGGAGGTAGATTATAGTCTTTTTTAAGGGCTCAGAGAATTATATTTTGATTTTTTAAGTGTTTTTAATATTTATTTTACCTTTTTATGAAAGGAACTACAATTAATTAGAATAATAAATCGAAACATAAAACACTCTAAATTTTTGTCAGCTCAAGTGTTTACACTTTTCTGTTTATTAATCTCCACTCTCATAAAAGCAAATAAACTGTATCCACCAAACAACAAAGGCTACAGAGTGCAGAAATGGTACTAAGTCTTTTATTTTTATATTCATTACAACCATATCCAAGGGACCTGTATTTTTGTACCTGCTTAATATCGCATGTACGAGTAGTGAATACAAATGCTGCTGACAAATAGTTTACAAAGTTAAGTATATCTTGAGAGTTTTTCTTTGTTTGATTGAGGGTTTTTCAGTTTCCTAAGGCAAAAATTGCTTCCAGCACTTGAAATGTGATCGCATTGGTTAGATACGGATCCTCAAGTGTCCTGAATCACAGATATGTGTCTTAAATGTCAGTAGGGACTGTCTGTGTTAGTCCATCCTTTTTAGACAAACATGCCCTTGGCAGTTCTACTCAGGATTCAATGATGCTGTTTAATTGACAATTTAAAATTTGCAACATGCAGTGCCTCTACTCCTAATCCCCAAACCATATTTATGTCTCTTGTAAGTCATAAGCAGGCCAAGGACACTGAGGTCTTTAAGTTTCAAGAGCCTGTGGGATCTGGAATGTATATGAGCCCGTACATATGTAACCTGCTGAGAAATAGCAGTGGTGCAGAAAAATATGGTTCTATTTCTTGATCAGTATAAGGTAAATTGTTCTTTATTTCCTCTCTTTCATTATGTATTTCTAGCTCAATGCTGTGAAACCCACTGACAGTAAATCCCCGGAAACTAGGGTGTGAGAGAAAAATTTGTTTACTTGTAGGGAAATTGCAATTACCTCCTACAGTTTTTTGGGATACAATTTGCAGACCACTTGTATTGAGTGTATTTTTCTTTAAACAAGGACAATTTTTTTTATTGTGATGGAATTTAACAGTTTTCCTTAATATGTGGGGGGTGGGGGGACTTGAATGGAGGAGGTTGTTGTTATATTATTAAATAAAAATATATATGTAACAGTTAGCATTTATGGTATCTTAGTTTGCTGAGCCCTAACAGGGTAAAATTAGAGAAAAGGCAATTCATGAAGATAAGGAGGACAGAGAATGACTTACTGAATAATTAAAAATAAGCAAAGGACAAGGTTATGGTCCCAGTTTTCATACATAAACATTACGAAAGTCAGTATTTTTGATGATTTCCGAATACATTTATGATAACATTGGAGTAAAAGGTTTAATTTTTTTGTTTAATTTCTCTGTAAGAATTGTGTAAAAAAGAGATAGGAATATCTACTTAACTTGAATGGCCCATTTTTGTTTCTGTCAGAGACACAGAAATGAAGTTCTGAAGCAAATGATAACAAGAAAATTGATATTTTAAGGAAGCCTGCATTATCTAAAACTTTAGAAGAATATAATAAAGTAAAAATTTAAGCAACTGGGTGTTTAAAGTCATTTCTGATGTAATTTGTAACCATTATGATTTGTAGATAATACGGTGTTGCAGAAGTAGAAAACACTATAGTGTAATAAAGAAAAGGAGTATATGATGAGTCATGGATTCTAACCTGAGAACTTTAAAAGAATTTAAGAACTCTAAGAATATTGAAATATTATTACTAAAACAACCCCAATGATCTATCTTTTGTAATTTGAAGAATGGAGAGAAAATAGGAAAGGAGACCTGCCTTATCGGCTTTGATAGTTTTTATGAAGAACGGGTAAAATGTTTGATTAGAAAAAAATTTTGTTTAAATTAAAAACAGAGTGACGGTCCATTCCTGTAACCAGTCCAGAGTAACAAGTACTAGACATGATCTTTCACAATTTAACAAAATACTGAAAAGTAGACAAAATACATGTTGCAATTCATTTTAAGCATTGGGCAAAAAGCAACATAAGACTTTTATCCTCTATAGAAGAGAAACATGACAGATGAGCCCAGAGTTCAACTTTCCTGACTATGGCACAGGGAAGTGAAGCCTAACAGAATATGGAATTAGGAGGCATAGAGAGGTTTTCTGGGATACAAAATGGCTGGAATTTATGGGCAAGATACTGAAGAGAAAGAAGTTGCTAGGGGAAATTGGGTTAGGTAGATATTTTTGAAGGGCTCAGCCCTAAGTCCTGGTTGATTTCTGGGATGTACATTTACAAGGTGAAACTCTGCAAGGCTGAGAAGAAAATAGCTGCTACTGGAACACAAAATGAATTAAGGGGTACCTGGGTGGCTCAGTCGGTTAAGTGTCTGCCTCTGGCTCAGGCCATGAACCTGGGGTCTTGGGGTTGAGCCCTATATCTGGCTCCCTGCTCAGCCATTTATCATAAAATAAATAAATAAAAGCTTTTTAAAAATGAATCAAGATTCCTAAAGTATAATAAGGTTGAAAGACACTGGAATTTTACTCCACCTAGACTAGAGAGACCTTCTGAACAATGGGACATTCAATTGAGATCATATCTTTAAAATAAAACACATGCCCTAGAGTAATTACAATATTGTTGAACCTAAGTAAAAACTATGCTTTCCCTAAAAGTCGTCATCGTCGTCGTCATCATCATCATCATCATCAAGAAGAACAGATTACAGGAAATCTACCAGTAACTCAAATACCTACCAGAGACAAAGTCAACACTTTTCAGAGAAAGATAGTGGAAGCTAAAGTCTCTGCAATGTATCATTAACAATGTCCAGCATGCAATCAAAATCTGCTTGTTACGTGAAAAAATGGAGAAGTATTACCCTTTGACATGGGAGAAGACAATCCATAAAAACCAATCCTGAGATTACCTAGAAGTTAGAATAAACAAAGACTTCAAAACAATTGCTGCAAATATGCTCAAGAAACTAAAGAAAAGTAGACATAGTGAATAATCTTATGGGAAAACTCATTGCAGATAGAGAAATTTTAAATAAGAAACAAATGGAAACATGAAGTACATAACCATGAAAATGAGGTTAAACATATATAGAAAAAAAAGTGTATAGGTTATTTTAGTGCCCAAGATCAAATGAAAAAGAGCTATAAAAGGTGAAGGAACGAGGAGGCACCTCAGTGGTTTAGTCAGTTGGGCATCTTTAGTCTCCCAGCCTCCCCTATCAGATTTTGAACTCACCAAGCCACCCATGATCACATGAGACAACTCCTTAAAGTAAATCTCTTTCTATGTATATATACATCCTCTCATTTATGTTTCTCTTGAGAACCCTGACTAATAAAATGTGTAAGTATGAAATTCAATAAGATAATATCTACATTATGTACATGTACATTATGTGGAATTTACATAAATGTACTTTACCTCGAGTAGAGTTGAAATCATAAGCAATAAAATTAAGAAAATTGGATAGAAAATAGAGTAAAAAGCTGCAATATATTTTTACATTCATATATCCAAGGTAAAAGTAATTTAGATATCAGGTATAATTTTGCAAAGTTACTTATATATGAATTAGATAATATATTTTATACTTGAAAATAGATAATCTTTAAAGTTCTCCTAATATCTTACAGTGATATTTTGAAATTGTGGATAGGTGAATTTTATATATCCTAATTATCTTTTATTTCATATTTCACCATATTTGCTTGACAGAGCCTATTGATTTGACAGAAAAAAAACCTTCTACATAATTGGAAAGATACCATTTTAGCATTTTTACACAGATCATTTATCCTAGTGTGTATCAGAATAACTCTTCCGTGGAAACTAAAATAAATAAACATCAGTGTATTTGTCTATTTTTTTAAGAATTGTGCTTTCAAATCATATCCTCATGAATGTATTTATTCATGGAATAGTAATAACTGGTTCTACAGGACTTCAGTTTCTATGAATACATTTTCTCAGATGTTCTGATTTTGATATATAGCAAAAATAATCATTTCTTAATGATGTGTGTGAATCATATAAAAATACAAGGAAATATGCATGGTTTAGAAATATAGTTTAAGAAATGGAATGAACTGCTAAAATTGAAGGGAAATTTAAATTATTCAGTTAAATCCAATGGTAACATGCCCTTCTAGTAGCATAAACACTTGAAAAGTGTTTCAAAACAGAAATAAATTTTCTACCTAAGCAAAGAGAAGGCTAGATTTGGGTTTAAGTGAACTTAATATACAGAGTACATTGGGTAAAATGACTTGTGCATATCTGAGAATTTGGGGAGTTCTCGAGAGCACAGAACAATTTTTTGTTTAATTTTTGTGTTTTTTTTTTCATTTATTTGTTTTTGTTTTATTTTTTTGTTTTTGTTTTTTTTATAGGAACAATTCTTGACAGGTCTGTTACTGGAAATGTTTGGAATTCTTTTAACAACATGGCAGGCATCCTAAGACTCTAGAATGCTATACTTTGTAAGAGGTTCCAGCTTTTGGAAGAAAAGGTGGGAATGACTTAAATAATCCTCCTGGTTCATATTTTGTTCAAATTTATCACATATCTCATTTGGTCACTGAAAATTCGTCAAGCACCTATTCTACGTCAAGCTGAGGTTGTTTTTATTTTTTTTAAATACTTTGTCTCGATATCCCTTAATATGTTATTAATTAAAATATTATTGCTACTTATTAATAACAATAAATTATTAAGTCCATGCTACATGATCCTCACTAAATACTTTACATCCATTGTTTATTTAATACTTACAGTCTATGAGAAGGGAACCAGGACGGCATAGTCAATTAAGTAAGCATCAGACTCTTGGTTTCAGTTTGTAATCTCAGGGTTGTGATCACAGAGTCATGATTTTGAGCCCCAAGTTGAGTTTTGAGCTCAGTAACATGTCTCTTTAAGACTGTCTCTCCCTCTTACCCTCCCACCTCTCTCTCTCTCTCTCAAATAAATCTCAAAAAAAAAAAAATACAGGGCTCCTGGGTGGCTCAGTCAGTTAAGCCTCGGACTCTTGATTTCAGCAAGGTTTCAGTGTCATGGATCGAGGTCCATGTCTGGCTCTGTGCCCAGCATGTAGTCTGTTTGAGATTCTCTTTCTCCCTCTGTCCCTTTCCCCTGATCTCAGTCTCTCGCTCTCTCAAAAAAATATAATTCATAAGGTAATTACTCTTTTCTAGACTATTGTCATTATTATATTACCAAACAGAAGCCACCAGCATAATTTGGAAGTGCTATAAAACTCAAACCATTTACTCTTACAGTTTTTAGTCAATTTTCCATATAACTTTTGTAGATATCTTTAACTGATTATGGAGACTCAGGAATAAGAAATTTACCACAATTTCTCATTGCAGACAGTTACATCAGAATGAGACATTGAGTGAAAGATTGGAAGGGTGTTGTGCGCAGTTTGAAAATCAAAGGTAAATCTTTTAAATTCAAGACATCTTAGTTTGTAGAAATAGAAATCGTGCCTGGAGTGAGACATACTGAAGGTGTTTTATGTTTGGGGTTCTCCAAAACAGTACATTGGTTATTTTACCAAGAGAATAGGCAGGGTTTTTTTTTCTTTTAAGTTTCCTGAGTATATTAGTCCTACTTAATTCCACATTTAGTCTAGTACCAAGGGTGTCTGTTGTATACATATTTTATGGAATTAAAAACATCACTTTTTTGATGGCATGACACAATACAATGATATTCATTAGATGAAAGACAAAATTTATCATTCTTACAGATCCAAACTAGAGAAGACTGTGAGACAAGGACATGCTTTAGGGAATGGAGAATGTCCCTAAGTGTCTTATATGTTACTCCTGGACGGTGGGGGCTGTTATATAGTGTCTCTGGTGTATGCGAGGCACATAAGAGGAGTGGTTAAATGTAGACACATTCAGCTGCTCAAGAAGGGTTACTGAACAGCCTCAGTCCAGTGCCTCAAAACAGGATCAAGGCAGTACTGCAAAAATATAAAATAACAACAAAAATTATAGTACAGTTAACCCCTTGATGTCCTGACATTCGTTTTGAGCTTGATTATTTGGTGCATTTGAGTGGCCCAAATACTAGAGGAGAAATTTAGAGTATGACATCATAGGTTGCTCCAAAGAACATTAAAAAACCCATTTTTAAATATTTTTTTAATTTTTTTATGAGAGTAGATGGAGCAAGACAAGTGGAAGTATAAGAAGTCCTTAGAGGCCAGCCCATAACTAAGTTTCCCATTAGATGACATCAGCCAAGAAAACAGATCAGGAATTTTAAAGCTTTCAATAATATCTTTGCAAGTTGTAAAATGTGTTAAAAGTACAAGTTAATATTTTTATTACAGTAATATTTTGGTGTATTCCTTGAGTCGGAATGGCAAGCCCAACAGTTATGTTGTTGGGGAGTACGAACTGATAGTTTAGTAAGGTGAATTTGTGGTATTTGTTTATAACCAAGGGGAAAGAGTGATTTTGGTGGGCATGGCCTATATGTGGAGCTTAAGGTCATGGTGAAAAGCTGGGGTTGGGAGTAAGACAAGATACTGAGGAATGGAAGTCTTCTTCCTGGGGGTTAAGGGGTGACTGATGTGAAACAGGTCACCCTGGGGAAAGCAATAATCTCCTTAATTGATTGTGTGACACAGATTCTACTAACTGCTATCGGATTTCCTATTAGACACAGGAGTTTAGAGGTATACATTTTGACAGAGAACAAAAAGTATAAGAAGATCAGGAACAAAATAAAGAGTGAGTTCATGAGTTGTACTAGAATCTCTAATATCAAAGGAAGAAAAGCGATACATGTGCCAAGTCTAGCTTGTCAATGTCTTACAGGCACAATCTGTAGACATTGCAAGGTCAGTGATCTCGGTGTCTGAGCTGAAGGTGTCTCTGGTGCAGAGGAAAGGTCACCTCTAATAGGGAGGTCTTGGGTGGGGGCAATGACCTCTGAAGATGTTATCTCCTAGGTGATGAAAACATGAACTCTGGGGCCAGGGTGGTGTCATCTGAGATGTAGGATTAGAGTATCCTTCTCTGGTGGATTTGGACTTGGTTTGATGTTGGTCATGTTTTTGTGTCTCCATGGAATTATCAGAGGGCTGAGCCAATTGTGGAATTGGAAAGCAACCATGGGCCTGGGAACTTGACTTGCAAATATCTGTTAAATCAGGGGACTTTTTAAGGCCACAACTAGCAAAGACGATGCCGGCCCCCATGACACTGCTATAATTTGAGCAAAGCACTGGAACTTGATGCAGTTAAAGCCTTAATTGAGGGTAGCCAAATCGAATAGATCACAACAGTCCACTGTTTTGCCCAGTTGATGATGAGAGGGATTCTGCTGAAAATAAACTTTAATCATATGGCCTGATTTGGGTGCATATTGTTAATCGAGTGTTGGTTGTTTGCCAATTAAAATATCTGTGGCTGAAGTTGGACCTTTAGCATTAGCCTACGAGCTTGCCTTCCAGTTTAGTCAATGACAACAAGCCCTCTGTTTCAATGGTTGGTTTGATTTAGGTAGCAGGCAAGCCAGGGCGGTTTTTGAGGGCCTACATCAACTAATTTTAATGGCATGGGGCTTCTGCATTTCATGTGTTTGGTTGAAACATCAGCTTTTTAGAGGGTCTAGGCCTCTGGGTCACATATCAACGAAAGTACCCAGACCAAAAATAACAAGACCAACAGTCAACAGAATGGTGTGCAGCTGATGTGACAG